TCTTGTTTCATGAAATCTTTAAAGTCAATGCGAGAGGTTCAAGAGGGTGGATAATGTTGCAACTCTTGAGAATATCTGGGCCTAGAGATAGGCGTAAATCAATCATCATTTCGTGAGCAAATTGAGCATCATGCCGGAGGATCGCGAGGAGGTTCAGGCCAGTTCTATGATTGTTAAGAAGGAGTCTTTGAAGGGAGTAGCCAAGGAGTTGTGAGAAACATCGTGAGTTCTCAGCCACTTGAATCATGATAAAGTGTGAGTACCCTGACAGCGAAGTCGGAGTATCTGGATTTCGGAGTCTGGATTAGGGTCACAAAGCACAAGGGAAATTTCTGATTTTCGTGCACGTATCGGCAGGGATATGTAACAGTTGATGAGAAATGAACTGTAGCTACTGGATGTGGGTGGTGCAGGTGTACTGTGTGTTGGTGCCGCGCACAGGCGTGCCACGCTCGATGATGCATCTCGAGTCATAGGAAGTGCCGTGTGTAGTGCGCCGCATGTAGCGTGCCGCGTTGCCGCGTGCCAGGCCAGTCATTCATGTCACAATTGCCAAATCTTTAGCGTGTAAATTCGTGTCGATTCTGGGAATTTTTCACTTGTATTGCATTAACCTAATTGTTAAGTCTTGCTTGGAGGTTTTATCTTTATGAGTTGTTGTGCTCAATTGCAAATGTAGTCACCACGTGAAGTGAGGAGCTTCGTGGTAAGAGAAGAGGCTACAACCAGGTTTATTGAGTCCTTTTATGATTCTCGACCAAGTCGATGACTTAGCCTAATGGTTGACTTCACCACTGGAGCTTGCGAGGATGCATGACACATTCTATGCCTCATGATGGAGGAAACGTATGCGTGACCTCGAGGTATGTGTGATTTGTAATGAGCTGCGTGATAGACAAACTCTACCTGTATGGAAGTACCGGTGACCTGTAGGAACTGAGGATTCATCAGGGTAAGGCCGGAAAGGGGTTATTCGTTGAAGTCCAGTGGGGGTAGTTGAGTCGAGGGCGAGACGACTTGGAAGAGAAAAGCCGAAAATTGGAGAGAGTACCAAATCTCCTGTTTTGGTATTCCCTTTTGTGTTCTAATGCTTTCTAGATGTTTGTTTTCGAATTCCGAGGATGGAATTCTTTGTAAGGTGGATAGACTGTAATACCCCGTTTGTTTTTAGAATAATATTGGGATTATTTATTTATTTTTGCATTATTAATCTTATTATTATTATTACTGTTGTGAATATTAAATGCCTAAATGTCTAATTGTCATTAATTGATTAAATGATGATTATTATTATTTCATATGTATTGCTTGTTATTATTATTATTATTATTATTATTATTATTATTATTATTATTATTATTATTATTATTATTATTATTAGTATTATTATTATTATTATTAGTATTATTATTATTATTATTGTTGTTGTTGTTGTTGGTGTTGGTGTTGTTGTTGTTGTGATTAAATGTCTAAATTGATTATTTGCTTATTAATATGTAAATATTATTATTGTGTAACACTCAACATATCCGTTTAGACTTATTATTATTATTTAATTAGATGTAATCTAACTAATATAATAAGTTGTGTTATTCGATTTATTTCGTCGTCACTCGAATTGATCAGGAGTTATTGTTACTGCATTGTATATTGTTCCTGGCCCAATTGAAATTAATTTTCAGCCCAAAATATTATGTTGAGGCCCAATGAATTGTATATAATTGTTTGGCCCGTTAAATGCAAAATCTGTAACCTTATCTTTTCTACTGCGATACCGCGTCTCCAAACGATCAGATTTGTTGCGATTTTCCGGCGTAATCCTTTGCACGATCATACGTTACTCTATCTTCCATCTTATTATATTCGACCGAGAGAGAGAGACTTTCATCATCAAACTTCACATTCGCAGCCCCTGTTTCTATTTAAAAAAAAAAATTAAGAATCTGAATTTCCGGCAAGACCACCTTCGTTCCCCGAGCAGACCCACTTTCGACGACCTCCACGCTTCTCCTAGCGATCAGAATCCTTTCCGCTCGATCACCTTGTTCGCAGGCGATCCTCGAACAGTCTCAATTCGCCGGCGTCCTCCCCCTGTCCGCCATAGCCGAGGAGCTTGAGCTTCCGTCGACTGTCGAGGCGAAAAACCCCCCCAGCAACCAGTTCGTGAACCACTCATCAACGTTCAGTTCGAGCTTTCGAGGATCTTCGAGGTCTTGGTCTGTTCACTCCGTCGTCTCACCCATTTTTTCCGATTTTTCGTAGATTCCCGAAGACGGGTAAATTCCTTCGATCTTTTTCAGATCCTGCGTATTCGAGTTATTCGTTGATTATATCGTGTTCTTTGAATCGATTTCTCGTTAAATTGTTCGCTTTAATTATTGGATTGTATATCGTTTTGTTTGTGGAATATTCGGGGATGATCGGAACTCTCGATTTCGTAAAATTGAGTATCATTAGGTTGCGTTGGTTGTTTCGATTTGCTTCGGTGTCCCGTTATGTTGTTTTGGAGTTCCGTTCTGTTGTTTCGGGGTCTCGTTGTATATTTATTTAATGTCGTTTAGTTTCGGCCCAAAAACCCGTTTTTAAAATGTTTCAAAATCTGATAAATATGTACCATTTTTCTCTTCGAACCTGAGTTGCTGTAGAATTTTTGCGATTTTTGGTCGATTTGCTGTTATTTGCAGGTTTGTTAAGATGTTAACCACTCTGTTTCTATAATTTCAGACGCAGGCATTTTGTTTTTAAAGTTCATTTGTTTCTGTTTGCAATTTAAATCGCAAGCAGCGCGCATGGTCCAGTGGTTACGGTGTCCAATTCTTTGCAAGCGGTCGCGAGTTCGAACCCCTCTTCGTAGTAGCCATTTCCTTAAATCTCTTTTAACTAATCCCAGCTCCAGCGCGGGCCATTTGGCCCGAATTCGGCCCACGCAGCCCGATTCTCCAACCAGCAGCTGGCCCGCGAGTGGCCCAGCCCTGGCCCTGAAGCCCGCAGCCCCTCAAGCCTATTTAATGGGCCATTTTTAGCATGTATTCGGCCCAAGGCCGAAATGCTTGGCTGCCTTGGGCCAGCTTTTGGGCAGAAATACAATTTAGTCTTTTTGGACTACTTTAGTGTATCAGATCCCGTTTTCCGTATTGTCTTCTATTTTTTTAAAAAAAAAAATATTTTAAGTCCCGAGACTGCAAATTAAATTTTCTGAATTCTATTTTGAAAAAAATGAGAGAGTTCCAAGTCCACGAAAAATCCGATTAAGACCCATGAGTATTAATTTTTATTAAGTGTGGGTTTTATATTAAATTCGAGAAGTGAGATAGGTTATTGATATTATCTCGCTTAAATGTAGGTGTTTGAGGAGTCAAGCCTCGACCTACGTACTTGATTTTGTGTGCAATATTCTACCGCGATTTTCAGGTGGGTTTTATTTGAAAATTTGCTATGCCGTAAATAATTTATTTGTTGTTGGGTTGGTATGATCAATGCATGCTTGTAAATTTGTGTAACCTTCGTATGAGCTGGATGTCATTCGAATGGTTGTCCCCGTCATTGAGAGCTGTATGTCCTTCGACGGTGCCTTGTGAGGCAATCTCCCTAAGTCCTAATGATAGGCCATACCGTTGAGAGCTGTATGTCCTTTTGTATGCACTCCCATTGTTGAGAGCTGTATGTCCTTCAATGGCTAATGATAGATGTGCACATGAGTGAGATTATTGGTGTATTGATTGGAGATGTGACATGTCAAATTGATTTATGATCATGTTGTGACCATACCATTTGTTATATTATTTATGTGCATAGTGGTGAGCACTACTGTTTCTATTTGTGCTCATCCCCACCTGCTCTTCATGGATGCAGGTTATTAAGTGCGGCACGTCGGAGGGATGCGAGTGGTGGTCGGTTACTGTTGACCGAATTATTATTTGATATTGCTTCTTCACATTGAACTGAATATATGTTTATCGTGCATGATTTTGAAAATTGATGATTGACGATGATGGATTTTCTAATTGGTAGCGCCACCAGTGATTTGAAATAAATTTTGAAAAATTTATTACTGATTTTCGTCAAATAAAAAGTGGGGCGTTACACTCTAAGTTAAATTCGTTGTCATGTAAAATAGACATATGTTGTTTATCTAATGTATAACTACATTCGGTTTGGATTTTGCAATAATTCAGAATTGTATATTATGTTTATATACCGTTTTAGTGTTGTTTATATGTTATTTATCTTATGTATAACTATACAGTTAACTTTAGAGAAATGTTAGATCATGTTTATCTAATGTATATATACAATATATCTAAACATATTTTTTGTGGTTATGAGGAAGTATATATACAGAATATCTGATTTTTTTTATCAAAAATATTTGACAGAGAGAGGGAAAAAAAACATAAACATGAAGAGAGAAACAG